AGATCACTCACTTCAAACGCTATCAGTTTCACGCGTCTCGGATCCACGGTTCCTCAGTTTCAGACGACATGTCAAATAACGATGCTGTTATAGAATCTACCGACTGTTGTCGGGTTCCTATACAATCAACAAATACATTCACGTCTGGATTCTTCACAAAATGAGCAAAGAGAAAAGTTCGAATTAACTTCCAAAAATAACTCCCTCGTTGAGAGCAAGGTCGGATTTACGGTGTTCACTGTATTTATCCATGCACTAAATTTGTTCCTTAGAAAAATCGAAACAATTTCAAATCTAACATTCAGCTCAGATTTCTATTGAAAAACTGGAATCACCCTATAGACATATCATACGCAATTGTATTGATACTAAATTGTGGAATAAATTTGAAGTGTTTGTTAAAATGTCAAAGTACTACTTTGTTTGCCAATCAGCACGCGACAATACGCTGTTCAAACTATTGAACGAAATTGTGTGGACTGTCGATAAGGCGGGCATTTTTAATTTTAATCATCAATTAATAATAAAAAGTTAAAAAATAACATAAGAGGCAGAGAAAACGTAAATATAAGTATTGAACTGTTTTTGTATGGTATTTATGATCTATTTGAATGACACAGCTTTGCAAGCAAACAACATAATGCGCTTTGTTTTCGTTGTAATAAAAGTGTTTTTTATTTAATTTTTTATTTTGCACATAAATTTACAATGTCATTGTCAAATCTCACAATGCCCAGCGATATTTTAGCAGCCGTCATGTTTATTTAAATTGGATATTGTAGTTCCGGTCAGTGTTGTAGTAATACACTAATAGGCTATATAGTGACAATGCCATGCAAATGTCAATATTGACATATAAGAGCGCTACAGGCGTCTGCTTTTGACAACCGGAAGTTTACATGCCAAACCGGTGAAGTGGGACGGGAACACCCCCTGACATTCGACCCCTTATCAATCCACCATCACATATTAAAATCTACTAAAACTATACGTTTACCCATTTAAATAACTCGGAGGCACTGTATTAAACCGGAACAAATTTTAGGTAGGGATTACAATCGTATGAAACACTTGCTGATTGGCCTTGAAGCAAAAAATCGGAAATATCTATTTGCTGGTTAAAGTAATTATCTCTCATTTTAATGCTGTGCAATTGAGAATTTCTGGATAAATTAGTGAATAAATGTAGGATTGGCATTGGATAGGCCCCACACGTGTATTTCCTTTATTTGATTTCAAATACTTTACTTTCGAACATCTATTTAATATTCTGTAAGATTCATCGCAAGATGGTATTTAAATGGAATACTTATGTCTTCTGTAGAAAATGATTGTATTTTAACCTTTAATTTCCCATCTTCTGCTCTCTTGTGTTGTGTTGCGTTTAGGATTCACATAAATAACAACAAAACCTACATTTTGAGAGAAAACATTGTCAGTTACTTTTATTACCTCTGAACTAGAGAATTGCATTTTATAGGGCGCGACTAGTTTAATCAGATTAAGAAACATGTGGTGAACTGAAATATCAGGAAAAGATAGTATGCTAGGCAAATACACGTAGTATTGCCATAATCCATTTGAAGAAAGAAAGGGAAAGCCATACCAGAAATATAGGTAGGGGAGAGGGGCGGACAATAAAGAGTCGAATAGCGTCGTTCAATCACATGTAGAAGGCCAACAATATAATGGGGTACTAAATGAAAAAGCACCCACGGGAAAATAAAACTCAACGACGCCAGCTGAACACTTGTACATAATGTAGGTTCATAAAATCATGATATATTTATTCAAATGAAATACATGTCGCGACAAGGTTAATTCTGCTCTAGGGTGTACCCGATACGATTATATCTGGCAAAAACAGACAGCGTTCGCTGTATTTGCACGTGAAGTTGATGTAGACCAGTTGAGAATATTTTATGTTTTCTTGTTGAATACCATGTATATTTCAAGTTTACGACAGAAATCCGATATTTTTCGTCAGTGTGAAGCTTTTGTTTGCCAAATGAGATATTGTATTTTACTTACTTGACGAAACTGATACCTTTCCCACTGTAAAATGTATCAAAGGTGATATCCATCAAAGTGTGAAGATTGCCAAATCCTTTCAATTTTACCTTCAAATATATATCGACGGTTCACTGCATGTATCTGTAAATAACATGAAATTTATCGAACAAGCCAATCATGCATACCCTTCTAAACTTGTAATCTGAATCAGACACATTTTTTAAAATTAACTTACAACATGGCAAACAGGCTAATAACTAAGTTTTCGGAACACGAACTTGCCCTTTCTTGGTAGTTTTATACCCAACACCAATCTACGGTTGTCATTGTTTGCAGTTAATTCTGTATTTAAGAGCTAACTTCGAATATCAGGACTTCCGTGATAGTTGTCGACTGCTGGTGGACCACCGTACGTAACAGGGTTTCCAGAGGTGTCGACTGGTGGTGGACCCCCGTACGTAACAGGGTTTCCAGAGGTGTCGACTGGTGGTGGCCCACCGTACGTAACAGGGTTTCCAGAGGTGTCGACTGGTGGTGGACCCCCGTACGTAACAGGGTTTCCAGAGGTGTCGACTGGTGGTGGACCCCCGTACGTAACAGGGTTTCCAGAGGTGTCGACTGGTGGTGGACCCCCGTACGTAACAGGGTTTCCAGAGGTGTCGGCTGCTGGTGGACCACCGTACGTTACAGGGTTTCCAGAGGGGTCGACTGCTGGTGGACCACCGTACGTTACAGGGTTTCCAGAGGTGTCGACTTCTGGTTGACCACCGTACGTTACAGGGTTTCCAGAGGTGTCGGCTGCTGGTGGACCACCGTACGTAACAGGGTTTCCAGAGGTGTCCACTGCTGGTGGACCACCGTACGTAACAGGGTTTCCAGAGGTGTCGACTGCTGGTGGACCACCGTACGTTACAGGGTTTCCAGAGGTGTCGACTGCTGGTGGACCACCGTACGTTACAGGGTTTCCAGAGGTGTCGACTGCTGGTGGACCACCGTACGTTACAGGGTTTCCAGAGGTGTCGACTGCTGGTGGACCACCGTACGTTACAGGGTTTCCAGAGGTGTCGACTGCTGGTGGACCACCGTACGTTACAGGGTTTCCAGAGGTGTCGACTTCTGGTTGACCACCGTACGTTACAGGGTTTCCAGAGGTGTCGGCTGCTGGTGGACCACCGTACGTAACAGGGTTTCCAGAGGTGTCCACTGCTGGTGGACCACCGTACGTAACAGGGTTTCCAGAGGTGTCGACTGCTGGTGGACCACCGTACGTTACAGGGTTTCCAGAGGTGTCGACTGCTGGTGGACCACCGTACGTTACAGGGTTTCCAGAGGTGTCGACTGCTGGTGGACCACCGTACGTTACAGGGTTTCCAGAGGTGTCGACTGCTGGTGGACCACCGTACGTTACAGGGTTTCCAGAGGTGTCGACTTCTGGTTGACCACCGTACGTTACAGGGTTTCCAGAGGTGTCGGCTGCTGGTGGACCACCGTACGTAACAGGGTTTCCAGAGGTGTCCACTGCTGGTGGACCACCGTACGTTACATGGTTTCCAGAGGTGTCGACTGCTGGTGGACCACCGTGCATTACAGGGTTTCCAGAGGTGTCGACTGCTGGTGGACCACCGTACATTACAGGGTTTCCAGAGGTGTCGACTGCTGGTGGACCACCGTGCGTTACAGGGTTTCCAGAGGTGTCGCGATCGACTGCTGGTGGATCACCGTACATTACAGGGTTTCCAGAGGTGTCCACTGCTGGTGGACCACCGTACGTTACAGGGTTTCCAGAGGTGTCGGCTGATGAAGACTATGGGCAAGTTTTTTGGTCGCAATCTTAACCTGATTTAGAAATATGTTTGTGTGATATGAAGGTCGATATTATAACTATTATGTTCATTGTGCACCATGTTTTTGACCTTGATTTACATTGATGTCGACGTCGATGAAGCAGAAGATGCGTACTTTTCCGTAAAACAACTCTGGTTTTATTTCCCTAGTATTTTTCTTTTTTTCTTTTTTTTTGTCAAATGTCTTTAACGTTTAGGTATGTACGTATCATAGTAACCTTAACAAGTAGGTATAAAAATGTATTTAGTAACGTTAATAAAGGTTCCTAGTAACGGTAAGATAGGTGTCATAGCAACGGTAAGATAGGTATCATAGTAACAGTAAGATAGGTATAATAGTAACGGTAAGATAGGTGTCATATCAACGGTAAGATAGGTATAATAGTAACGGTAAGAGTTCCTAGTAACGGTAAGATAAGGGTCATAGCAACGGTAAGATAGGTTTCATAGTAACGGTAAAATAGGTATCATAGTAACTGTAAGATAGGTATCATGGTAACGGTACGATAGGTATCATAATAACGGCAAGATAGGAATCACAGTAACGGTAATATAGGAATTATAGTAACGGTAATATAGGAATTATAGTAACGGTAAGATAGGTATCATAGTAACGGTAATATAGGTATTATAGTAACGGTAAGATAAGTATCATAGTAACGGTAAGATAGGTATCATAGTAACGGCAAGATAAGTATCATAGTAACGCTAAGATAGGAATCATAATAACAGTAAGATAGGTATCATAGTAACGGTAAGATCGGTATCATAGTAACGGTAATATAGGTATCATAGTAACATTAAGATAGGTATCATAATAACGGTAAGATAGATATCATAGTAACAGTAAGATAGGTATCATAGTAACGGTAAGATAGGTATCATAGTAACGGTAAGATAGGTATCATAATAACGGCAAGATAGGTATCATAGTAACGGTAAGATAGGTATCATAGTACCGGTAAGATAGGTATGATAATAACGGTAATATAGGTATCATAGTAACAGTAAGATAGGTATCATAGTAACGGTAGGATAGGTATTATAGTAACGGTAAGACAGGTATCATAGTAACGGTAAGATAGGTATCATAGTAACGGTAATATAGGTAACATAGTAACGGTAGGATAAGTATCATAGTAACGGTAAGATAGGTATTATAGTAACGGTAAGATAAGTATCATAGTAACGGTAAGATAGGTATCATAATAACAGTAAGATATGTATAATAGTAACGGTAAGATCGGTATCATAGTAACGGTAAGATAGGTATTATATTAACGGTAAGATAAGTATCATAGCAACGGTAAGATAAGTATCATAGTAACGGCAAGATAGGTATTATAGTAACGGTAAAATAGGTATCATAGTAACGGTAAGAAAGGTATCATAGTAACAGTAAGATATGTATCATAGTAACAGTAAGATAGTCATAGTAACATTAAGATAGGTATCATAGTAACGGAAAGATAGGTATCATAGTAACGGTATTAAAGGTAAGATAGGTATCATAATAACGGCAAGATAGGTATCATAGTAACGGTATTAAAGGTGCCTGATCATAGTAACGGTAAGATAGGTACCATAGTAACGGTAATATAGGTAACATAGTAACTGTAGGATAAGTATCATAGTAACGGAAAGATAGGTATCATAGTAACGGTAGGGTAGGTATCATAGTAACGGTAAGATCGGTATCATAGTAACGGAAATATAGGTATTATAATAACGGTAAGATAAGTATCATAGCAACGGTAAGATAAGTATCATAGTAACTGTGAGATAGGTATCATAATAACAGTAAGATATGTATAATGGTAACGGTAAGATCGGTATCATAGTAACGGTAAGATATGTATCATAGTAACGGTAGGATAGGTATTATAGTAACGGTAAGATAGGGATCATAATAACAGGAAGATATGGATAATAGTAACGGTAAGATCGGTATTATAGTAACGGTAAGATAGGGATCATAATAACAGGAAGATATGGATAATAGTAACGGTAAGATCGGTATTATAGTAACGGTAAGATAGGGATCATATTAACAGTAAGATATGTATCATAGTAACGGTAAGATCGGTATCATAGTAACGGAAATATAGGTATTATAATAACGGTAAGATAAGTATCATAGTGACGGTAAGATAGGTATCATAGTACCGGTAAGATAGGGATCATAGTAACGGAAATATAGGTATCATAGTAACATTAAAATAGGTATCATAGTACCGGTAAGATATGTATCATAGTAACGGTAGGATAGGTATCATAGTAACGGTAATATAGGTATCATAGTAACATTAAGATAGGTATCATAGTAACGGTATTAAAGGTGCCTGATCATAGTAACGGTAAGATAGGTACCATAGTAACGGTAATATAGGTAACATAGTAACGATAGGATAAGTATCATAGTAACGGTAAGATATGTATCATAGTAACGGTAAGATAGATATCATAGTAATGGTAAGATAGGTATCATAGTAACCGTAAGATAGGTATCATAGTAACGGAAAGATAGGTATCATAATAACAGTAAGATATGTATAATGGTAACGGTAAGATCGGTATCATAGTAACGGTAATATAAGTGTCATAGTAACGGTAAGATAGGTATGATGGTAACGGTAAGATAGGTATCATATAACAGTAAGATATGTATAATATTAACGGTAAGATCGGTATCATAGTAACGGTAATGTATTATAGTAACGGTAAGATAGGGATCATAGTAACGGAAATATAGGTATCATAGTAACATTAAAATAGGTATCATAGTACCGGTAAGATATGTATCATAGTAACGGTAAGATCGGTATCATAGTAATGGTAATATAGGTATCATAGTAACAGTAAGATATGTATCATAGTAACGGTAAGATAGGTATTATTGTAACGGTAAAATAAGTATCATAGTAACTGTAAGATAGCTATCATAGTAACGGTAAGATAGGGATCATAATAACAGGAAGATATGGATAATAGTAACGGTAAGATCGGTATCATAGTAACGGAAATATAGGTATCATAGTAACATTAAAATAGGTATCATAGTACCGGTAAGATATGTATCATAGTAACGGTAAGATCGGTAACATAGTAACGGTAATATAGGTATCATAGAAACAGTAAGATATGTATCATAGTAACGGTAGGATAGGTATCATAGTAACGGTAAGAAAGGTATCATAGTAACAGTAAGATATGTATCATAGTAACGGTAAGATCGGTATCATAGTAACGGTAATATAGGTATCATAGTAACATTAAGATAGGTATCATAGTACCGGTAAGATAGGTATCATAGTAACGGTAAGATAAGTGTCATAGTAACGGTAAGATAGGTATCATAGTAACGGTAAGATAGGTATCATAGTAACGGTAATATAGGTATCATAGTAACATTAAAATAGGTATCATAGTACCGGTAAGATAGGTATCATAATAACGGTATGATAGGTATCATAGTAACAGTAAGATAGGTATCATAGTAACGGTAGGATAGGGATTATAGTAACGGTAAGATAGGTATCATAGTAACATTAAGATAGGTATCATAGTAACGGTAAGATAGGTATCATAGTAACGCTAAGATAGGTATCATAATAACAGTAAGATATGTATCATAGTAACGGTAAGATCGGTATCATAGTAACGGTAAGATAGGTATCATAGTAACGCTAAGATAGGTGTCATAGTAACAGTAAGATAAGTTGTATGTTACAAAGGTTAACAGGTGTACCACAGATGGTGAAAGTTGTGTTACATAAGTTGTATGTTACAAAGGTTAACAGGTGTACCACAGATGGTGAAAGTTGTGTAACCTTAGTTGTATGTTACAAAGGTTAACAGGTGTAACACAGATGGTGAAAGTTGTGTAACCTAAGTTGTATGTTACAAAGGTTAACAGGTGTACCACAGAGTAACGGTATTAAAGGTGCCTGGTAACAGTAAGATAGGTATCACAGTAACATTAAGATAGGTATCATACTAACATTAAGATAGGTATCATACTAACATTAAGATAGGTATCATACTAACGGTAAGATAGGTATCACAGTAACGGTAAGATAGATATCATAGTAATGGTCGGTAAGATAGGTATCATATTAACGGTAAGATAGGTATGATAGTAACGGTAAGATAGGTGTCATAGTAACAGTAAGATAAGTTGTATGTTACAAAGGTTAACAGGTGTACCACAGATGACGAAAGTTGTGTAACCTTAGTTGTATGTTACAAAGGTTAACAGGTGTACCACAGATGACGAAAGTTGTGTAACCTTAGTTGTATGTTACAAAGGTTAACAGGTGTACCACAGATGGTGAAAGTTGTGTAACCTTAGTTGTATGTTACAAAGGTTAACAGGTGTACCACAGATGGTGAAAGTTGTGTTACCTAAGTTGTATGTTACAAAGGTTAACAGGTGTAACACAGATGGTGAAAGTTGTGTAACCTTAGTTGTATGTTACAAAGGTTAACAGGTGTAACACAGATGGTGAAAGTTGTGTTACCTAAGTTGTATGTTACAAAGGTTAACAGGTGTACCACAGATGACGAAAGTTGTGTAACCTTAGTTGTATGTTACAAAGGTTAACAGGTGTAACACAGATGGTGAAAGTTGTGTAACCTTAGTTGTATGTTACAAAGGTTAACAGGTGTAACACAGATGGTGAAAGTTGTGTAACCTAAGTTGTATGTTACAAAGGTTAACAGGTGTACCACAGATGACGAAAGTTGTGTAACCTTAGTTGTATGTTACAAAGGTTAGCAGGTGTACCACAGATGGTGAAAGTTGTGTTACCTAAGTTGTATGTTACAAAGGTTAACAGGTGTAACACAGATGGTGAAAGTTGTGTAACCTTAGTTGTATGTTACAAAGGTTAACAGGTGTACCACAGAGGTAAGATAGGTATCACAGTAACGGTAAGATAGATATCATAGTAAAGTAACG